TACCTTTTTAGTCGTCGAGTATCTTTTTAGTCTTCGTGTATCTTTTTAGTCGTCGTGTATCTTTTTCGTCTTCGTGTATCTTTTTCGTCTTCGTGTATCTTTTTCGTCTTCGTGTATCTTTTTCGTCTTCGTGCATCTTTTTAGTTGTCGAGTATCTTTTTAGTCGTCGAGTATCTCTTTAGTCGTCGAGTATCTCTTTAGTCGTCGAGTATCTCTTTCGTCTTCGTGGATCTCTTTAGTCTTCGAGTATCTCTTTAGTCGTCGAGTATCTTTTTCGTCGTCGAGTATCTCTTTCGTCTTCGAGTATCTCTTTAGTCGTCGAGTATCTCTTTAGTCGTCGAGTATCTCTTTCGTCGTCGAGTATCTCTTTCGTCGTCGTGTATCTCTTTCGTCGTCGTGTATCTCTTTAGTCGTCGAGTATCTCTTTAGTCGTCGAGTATCTCTTTCGTCTTCGTGGATCTCTTTAGTCGTCGTGTATCTCTTTGGTCGTCGTGTATCTTTTTGGTCGTCGAGTATCTCTTTAGTCGTCGAGTATCTCCTTCGTCGTCGTGTATCTCTTTCGTCTTCGTGGATCTCTTTAGTCGTCGTGTATCTCTTTGGTCGTCGTGTATCTTTTTCGTCGTCGAGTATCTCTTTAGTCGTCGAGTATCTCCTTCGTCGTCGTGTATCTCTTTCGTCTTCGAGTATCTCTTTAGTCGTCGAGTATCTCTTTAGTCGTCGAGTATCTCCTTCGTCGTCGTGTATCTCTTTCGTCGTCGAGTATCTCTTTAGTCGTCGAGTATCTCTTTCGTCTTCGTGGATCTCTTTAGTCGTCGTGTATCTCTTTGGTCGTCGTGTATCTTTTTGGTCGTCGAGTATCTTTTTGGTCGTCGAGTATCTTTTTAGTCGCCCTGTATCTTTTTAGTCGTCGTGGATCTTTTTAGTCGTCGTCGAGTATCTCTTTAGTCGTCGAGTATCTCTTTCGTCGTCGAGTATCTCTTTCGTCGTCGAGCATCTCTTTCGTCGTCGAGCATCTCTTTCGTCTTCGTGTATCTCTTTCGTCGTCGTGTATCATTTTCGTCGTCGTGTATCATTTTCGTCGTCGTGTATCATTTTCGTCGTCGTGTATCTTTTTAGTCGTCGAGTATCTCTTTCGTCTTCGAGTATCTCTTTCGTCTTCGAGTATCTCTTTAGTCGTCGTGGATCTCTTTAGTCGTCGTGGATCTCTTTAGTCGTCGTGGATCTCTTTCGTCTTCGTGGATCTCTTTCGTCTTCGTGGATCTTTTTAGTCTTCGTGGATCTCTTTAGTCTTCGTGGATCTCTTTAGTCGTCGTGTATGTTTTTGGTCGTCGAGTATCTTTTTAGTCGTCGTGTATCTTTTTCGTCGTCGTGTATCTTTTTAGTCGTCGTGTATCTTTTTAGTTGTCGTGTATCTTGAGATAATAGTTGGGACAATAATTATTATCAATATTATTAGAAAATAGATTTTCTTCCTATAAACTCTCATGCGGTCAGATTTATTATCCAATAGTAGTTTGGATCTATCGGGCCACACTGCTAACATGAATGAAATTAAATCTTCATTTCGAAGCAGGAAAACGTGTCAGACGCTCAGAATCACAACTAACAATTTGTCTGTTCATGAAGAACACAAAGCAGGATTTCCAGCTGACGTCAGAGTCACAGCTCGGAGAGCTTAACAGACGCTCCGACATTCAGCTTCTCCTCAGAGAACAGAAGCAACTTTGACCGAGACGAGTTAAAGAGTCTCAGCTGAGATCAGTGAGACCTCCTCCGGTTGCACCGAGTCTTTGTAGCTCTAAACTGAGACACAGCTGCACTTTAACAACATTTATTTGCATCCAATCGACGGGTTTAAAAACTCATTCAAGCAGCTGGACGGCTGTCAGTCGTGTGACAGAAACATGAAACACAGCTAACAGAGAAAAAGTCTCCGTGATGAATTCATTACAGTCAGTTCTTCAGTGAACAGAGATCAGTGTTGTCAGAGGAAACAGCAGCTCTTATAAGATTAACAGCCTCAGTTAACCTTCAGACATCATGTGGAGTCATTACATCACAGATATGGTCTACTGGGATGTTTGTTCTCTGTTTCACTGGGTTAAAGGACAAGTCTAACAACATGTGTTATTAGGTGTTGGAGAGGACAGCTGCGTATGTATTAACAGTACAATAAGGCTGACCTACCCTTACACGACACGAAACGACTGCAAAGAGACAAACGTCTTAAAAGAGACATTTCTGTGACTTTAATTAAACAATAACCAGATTGTCGTCGCATCATAAAAAAGATTTGGAAGCGAGTTTCATTTTGTTGTTTCATTTGAATGATTGTTGGTGTTTTTATTTTATTTGTTATAAAACTCCGATGAGAAGAAAAGTGTTTCTATAAATATAAAATATTGAGTAAATATTTAATATTTTCAGTTTATTGTTCAGCAGATTGAAGCTGCAGACAAACAGGAAAGAGAGTCAATGTATTTGTGGACGATCGTCTGTGGGCGGATACACAAATGTAGATACAATCAGCTGTGTGTGTGTGTCTGTGTGTGTGCGTGTGTTTGTCTGTGTGTGTGTGTCTGTGTGTTTGTCTGTGTGTTTGTCTGTGTGTGTGTGTGTGCGTGTGCGTGTCTTGTGTGTGTATATG